CGGTGGATCAGTCTCGCAAGGATTGATCCACCAAGCTCGATGATGCTCTATGGGCATATCGGAATGCCTACAAGACGCCGATCGATACTTCGTCGTATCGGCATGTCTATGGAAATGCACGTCACTTGTCTGTCAAGCTAGAGCACAGCGCCTTCTGGGCACTTAAGTTGTTAAACTTGGATGTGAGTCTTGCAGGGTGCTGAACGCAAGATGCAGATGCCAGAGTTGGAGGAATGGCGTTATCACGCCTATGAGAACACCAAGTTGTACAAGGAGCGAATGAAGAATCTTCACGACGCTCGATTGAGGTGCCTGAAGGATTTTTAGGTTGGTAATCGAGTTCTTCTCTATAACTCTCGCCTGAAACTCTTTCCTAGAAAGCTCCGCTCCCGGTGGTCTGGACCGTTCACGATCATGCAGGTGTTCCCGTATGGCACTAACGAGATTGCCAACCCGCAGACTAAGCCATTTAAAGTGAATGACCATCGTCTCAAGCTACATCTAGGAGACGAGGTCGAATGTGCGGAGTGGTGGTCGCACTCGCGGGACACTTAGTTCTGCTGGCTGCGTCTAGCTAAAGACTTAAAAGAAAGCTCTTGTGGGGAGGCAACCCCACCACAGTTTGTATTACTTTTTCCCTTTTTCCCTTTGATTTTTGGTCTGTCGAGTCAGTTTGTGCATATATGGTGAAGTTAGGTCGTCTGGTATACCTTAGTTTGCCATGATCCCTGCTTGACATATGTTTGGTAGGTCCTGTTCTTACTACGAACCAGCTATTTTTTGCTAGAATGCTTGTCTTCGTGATCCTTATGTATGGGGGAACTGGATAGCCCCTGCTTGCGGTCCTAACGAGATTTATCTTGGTTTCCACCTTTGGTTTGGTTATATTGCAGGATCATGTCTCTTGATCACCCGTACGTGCAGGACCTGCGCCTTCACGTCGATTTTGCTGAGCAGTTCGCCAAGGTCATCAACGGGGTGTTTCACCGCTACCATCACCTCGAGTTTGGGGTCTTCTACAGACTCCAATACCTCGATGAGATGGCTGCTGCCATCCTCATTGGTGCATTCTCTTGACCACCAAGGACTCTACCTACACGGAGTTGGTCTGGGAGTTCTACTCCACGTTCAATTATCGGCCCAAGGCACCTCGCGACTTCATGACATGCCTCACTTTCCGACTTGTTGGTAGCATGAGGCAGATGAGCATCGACGGGTTGGCTCAGGCCTTGGAGATTCATTACCATCTTTACTCCAAACACTAGAATGAGGGTCCCCATCCCACCGAATTTAACCAAGATGCTTTCTAACTCCGCATCGCCCGTCCTGAGTACAACCATGGCTGGTTCGTTTCAAGCCAGACGACTGTTACCACCATCCGAACCGAGTGGCACATCATCAACCTCCTGCTCACCCGTTCGGTCATCCCCAACACCACCAGATCACACAAGACACCGAAGCGCGTGATCTACGTCATGTACTCCATGGGGGGATCCCGACCACATGCTACACTTGGAGTCTCTCATGTCGACCACTTTTGCCAGTGCCACGAGAAACCCACCCACTTTTTTTTGTGGTCCCCTGATCACCAGCCCGGTGCGCCACTTCGATATCAGCTTTGAGGGGTTGACCGATGCCACGGAGCACGGTGGCTCCCTTCCCCTCAACAGGGATGTTCTTCACAACGCTTTCTTGTTAGACACTGCTGAAGCGGGGGAGTGGGTCGACGGTCTGTCCATGCCTCCCGCTGCGGACCGAGGACGATGTAGATGATGATGACTATGCTGGGGAGGAGGAGGAAGACAAGGATGACGATGATGATGATGGTGGGGATATGGATGCAGATGAGCCGGAGCCCCCACTTCCCTGCTAGGGGACCTTCCTCCATGACGAAGACTCGAGCGAGGTGAGTCCTCCTCCGGTCCTTCTGGTCCATCGATGGAGTTCTTCACTAAGCAGTTCCACCAAATGGGGCTCCATTTCCAGCAGCTTGGACTCCAGAACCACCTGCTCCTAGACCACCAATGCTAGTTGCCAGCAGCAGTATTCAACCCACTAGGCTGAGTACGCCACCAGGTTCGCTGCGTTCGACGAGCGCCTCGACCGTCTCGAGTCTCAGTAGGGTGTCACCCTTGCTCACATCGAGCGGGAGCAAGGCCGCAACCGTCGGATGATGGAGTAACAGGAGCACCTGCTTTAGTCCGGTCATCCGCCACAGGAGCACCACTGGACCAATCCGTGGTAGCACTCACCACCACAACCACCACCACCGTCGGGGGACTTTGGCGACTTCATGGACCATATTAACTTCGACCATCTTGAGTAGACTGTACTCGTAGGCATTTCTCTATGTTTGTCGTGTGTTTTGATTTATTTTGGGACGGAGTGCAAACTGGATTTTTGTGTTTTGTGTTTTTCTTTTGGATGATGTACTATTGGGATGACAATTTTACTTAATGCCTTTGTGTTTGAGTGATTATTTTTTATCCAGCCCGTGATCTTGATTCGACTGGTCCTATTTCCAGTCCTCCTCTCTCCGAGTGGTCCACTTCCCAGTCCTGCTGCGGTCTGTTCTTCCCAGTAACATCGTTCCCCTTATCTCTCCCTCTTCTCCATTGAGGGCACTGTCGAACCTAAGTGGGGGGGGGGGATGTTTCTATTTGAATGTCTAGCTATTGTGTGCTTGGATCCTAGTCCACTGTCCAAATTTTGATTTGAGGGCTCTAAGTACGTGTTCCTTTCAATGACATGCTCAGTATGCTTTGAATTAACAGTCTCTATAGTTCTATGCAATCTAGGGAGATAGTGTAGCGCTATGGAAGATGCTGAAGTATAAGATCTTTCCTATCTTTCTTTTTGCTGTGTCGGTTGATTGTGTGAACTAGTGGAAATAGGACATTTGATTCATGTGATATCGATGACTCTCTCTTGCTGTGTATGGTCCTCAATGTCAGAAAATTTGAAATCTTAAACATGGGTTAAGCCCAACGTGTGTGGCATCGTTCATTGCACAAAATCGGGTTTTGGAAGAGATTTTAGTGATCCTTAGTGGGGTAGGCCTACAAGGTGAAGCTAAGCCGTCTCTAGTACAAGTAAAAATTCCACTCGTTGAACGATGTTTTTAAGGGCACGAATAGAGCTTCCGACCGCTCTTAATTTCATTGACCCTCCACACGAAGTGAAGAAAAGGATTTAAAAGAAGTACTCTGGAGAGCAACAGATGTACAAAAATTGTCGACCTCGCATAAAACTGCAGTTGGAACCCCAGCAAAGTGCAAATGTGGAAAAAAAGAAAAAGAAACAAATAAACAATAAGTAAAAGAGGTTCCAACAAGTGAAATGTAATGAAAGAGCACCCAATACGGAGAGTCCTTGGTTCTTGTGTTATGTGAGTGAATCTCTTTGTCCATGAATTGTCTGTCCTAGGTCCACTGCTTCACATGATCCTGGTGTGAGTCTAGTACTCGCTTTGAGGGAAATATGGGATGTCTTAGAAAACCGGTTGACCTCATAAGTCTCTAAATGATCTAGGAAGTCTTCTATCGACAATAGGGGTCGCATGGTGTTGTAGAGGTCGGGAGAGTTGCATTGGTTTGAGTCAGGTTTGCTTGGGGACAAGCAAACAGTTAAGTGTGGGGGAATTTTATAGACCGTTATATGCAATTGTTTTGGCCACCATTATTGAACCGTTTGAGAGTTGATTCTCGTGTTTAAAGTCGATTTCACGCCAGGTTGTGCGTTTATGTCATATTTCAGGAATTGGTGTGGAAATGGAGGCTTGGAAGCGAGTTTTGAGTCGAAAATGGAGAGTTGGCGCCTAGAGGAGCTGGAGGCCAAACTACCCGATAAGAACACTCAAATACCTGACCGGGTATAATCTGCTGAGGGAGTAGGTATTCGACTGAGAGAGCCAAAGAAATAGAAGGAGGCCCGGTCAGGAACCCAAAATACCCGACTGGGTATTTTAACCCTAGGTCGGGTATTTTCCCCTTTGCTTGCGTGCTCCATTTTATAATACCCGCCCGGTCCTATAAATACCAGACTGGGTATTTGGGTCGGGTATTGCGAGCTGCAGCCCTTAGCTACGAATTTGGGGATTTTGAAAGGTATTCAAGTTCTAGAGCAAGAAAAACAGAGGTTAAAGAGAAAAAGTGACGAAGAGAGATCCTTGAGCGCCCTAGATCAAGTTGTACACCATTGGAGCTCGATTAAAGCCTCAAGGAAAGACGATTGATGACACAGTGTCGATTTCTCCCTTCAACACGATGATTTCCACATCAAGCTTAGCTTTCCACCCTCTCTCTATGGAGTAATCCCCCCTCTATCACTTGGGTATGTAAGAAACCTAGATTGTATGTTAGGTTGAGTTGTATGAACCCCTTGCCCTGAATGATTCATTGATTTAAATCCAATTGAAGTAATTTCTCTGAATTACTTGAGTCCTGATCACATTCTAGTGATTCCTGCTTTGACCTAGAAGAATAATCTTTGCACAGGTCAATAGAGCACCTTGAATTGAAAGTAGTGAATTGGCGACCTTAGTCGGGAAGTCAATTCCTGCTCTGTACTGGTTTAGAAACCAGTGGAGGAAGTTGTAATCTGATTGCCTCAGCTAGCTTACTCCGGTGGAGGTTAGTCGCCCGTCGGGTATTCTAGCTTAGAGGGCCTGAAGCACTTTAGTCGAGACTTCAGACTAATAAGAACTTTCCGCAGTTTAAACATCAATCAACTTGATTTAGGTGAATCACAATTTCGCTTAACTGCAATCTAGGGGGACTCATACCTGAGTGAGCCTTCTCAAACTTGAACTACAACTTTTACTACTTTGTCTTAATTTAGACTAGTCATAATCTCACTACATTTAAACCGCTAGATAACGAGAATTCACAGAGTAGTCATCACATCTAGGACCCAGGTTGACAATTAAGACTAAACCCGCTATACTACGCATTAGTAGGTGGTTGCACTTAGCCACTACTCATTAGTAGGTGGTTGCACTTTTCTTTCCGAGAAACAAAAGGGGAAAATCATTCCCATCTATCGTTTCACCTTGGAATCAGACAAGATCCCAGCCTAAAATACGCCATTGGAGCATCGGCCAGCCTCCAAATCGATGGTAAGTGGCGGATTAGGGTTCTTGCATGTTCGATTTCTACTATTTTCAGATTTGATTTTAGGGTTTTGAGATTCTAATCCTTATTTTCTTGATTTATTTCCGGAGAAGCCGACCCAAAATCAAAGGGCTTCTCAATCTGTTACTCCCCTCTCCTTGCCGGCCACAGAACATAAGCCAACAACCCTGAATGTACTAGAAAGGCTTCGATCTAGGTAGGGATTGGCTTGCATGTGGGTTTTTTTTTTTCGATTTTAGGTTCAAAATTAGGATTCTGATATTTTATTTTGGTTTTTGGTTTCGGTATCTGGGGACTTGTTCGGGGGAGGAGAGGGCGGCGCCGATTTGGTCTCGGGGAGTTCTTTCTCTATTTGCTTTGATTTTCCTAGGTTAGATGGTTCTTGTTAATTTGACTAGGATTTATTCATTTCTGATCTTTAATTCTGGTAAGAGGGATTCTAATTTGGGTTTTTTGTTTGGTTTTGATGTTCTGGTTGTTGAGGGGAGAAGGTGGGAGGAGGAGGTGAGCAGGATATCCGCCGGCAAGGCTCTGTCGGCGATGGTTTGACAACGACAATGGCGGGTGAGGTTTTGTTTCGGTTAATCTTATTTATTCTCTTAATTGGTATCGCTTTAATCGATTCTGACCTCTACCTTTGCTCTGTGGAAATTTTTGAATTTGAGAGATCTGGGTAAGATTTCTAAACTTAGCTTAGTATGATTGGGGTGGTTAAACTAAGAAAAAGAAAAAGGATTCTGTTGTGGTTGAGATTTAGTTTACAGATCTTTGGTTTGTAGATATGTTGTGCATGTGTTTGATGATCTCAAATTTTTTATGCTTGATGGTTTGGTGATGGTTTTAGATGTAACTATCTATATGCTAGAATTTGCGAAAAAAGGAATTTTCTGTAATGAGAAAGTAATTAAGATGCTCTAAAATTGCTAATTTTGACAATTATAAATCTGATCTTGCCATACTATGGATAAATCACTGCTACTGCTTGTGATTTAATTAGACTAGGGTTGATTTTCAAAAATAGTTATGGGTTTGTAAAAATCTGAAATTTATTGCGATATGTTGATTTTTGTTGGATTTGGTTTTCAAATGAAAATCATATTTGTTTCTGTTTCTGTTTGAAAGCTATATGTTGGTTTAAGTTATATATATGCTTAAAAAGAGATTGAGACTTGACTAAAGTTTAAAACGATGCTTACCAAAAAATTAGGCTAGTAATAGTAACTAAAGAAAATGTTACATAAACGGCTTTCAATTGAAAGGAATCGGATATATATATAGATTGCAGTAATAGTATATTGCTTAAAAAGAAACTGAACCGATGGCTTGAATGTGAAGCAACTCATGAAGTAAATAAAGCTGATAGAGATAAACCAACAAGAACTGTACATGTGATTGATAATAAAGTCGAATACATGAGCTCTTATTAATAAAAAGAAGGTTGAGATTACAAACACTAACCTTGTTGGAATTTGTGGCTTTAAGAATGCCTCCTTTATGCTCCTATCTCCTAGATCTCCAAACTGAAGTTAGCATCTCCAGAAAGAAAAAAGAAAAGACCCCTAAAGTCTTTTTGCCTGTCAAATTTGTATTTCTGTAGCGTTTTCTTTTCTTCCCCCACCCCAAATTTTGTCCCCATAACAGAAGGCAAAGAGCTCTTTTATAGCCTGCTAGCTGCTTGTTGGTCGGTTCTTGTATGGACTCTGATATGATTGTTGGTCGGTTCTAGGTCAAACCGGTCTGATTCTGATTGTTGGTCGGTTCTTGTATGGGCCATAAAGCTCTTTGAACTGGTCTAAAGTGTTATTTCAGCTTGGGCTTCGTTTGGGCTTGATTGAGCATCTTTCAGCCTTCATTTATGGGTTTGCCTTGACTCGAACTGTGGGCCTCGGATGGACTCTGATCTTTTGGGCTTGTCTTTGATGTGGGCCTGAACTAACTAGGCTCCTCTTTTTTTTTTTTTTGGCAGGTCTGTTGCTGGCTTCAAAGGAGATGGATGAAACTTGTATTTGATTGTGATTTTCTTGTAATAATTGTGATTAATAATTTGTATTCTGATTGTAATTGTATAATTTATTGATAATTTAAATAAAACTTTTTTCTCCCTCTGTATGTTTTGTGTTGTGCAAAAAGCCGAGATTGGAAGATTTTGCAACTACAGCAACATCTGATCAAACTAAAGCCCACCTTTTTTATAAACTATAATCGAATTCAAATAAATTGTACGATCGTCGATATTTTAGATTCGCAATGGCCAATCTTACAACTTACGACATTTCACGGTTTAAGTTTAGAAGTTTTAGTTGGATAATTTACCCAGACAAAATGGGGTGTCTACAGTTGGCCCCCTTGTATAAGGATTATATTTGGTTTGTGACGTATTTTTTTGGCGTTCGTCATCTCCAATTGTTTCATTTTTCTTGATGGTGCCGTAAATAAACTTGTTTCTTTTTCCTGATGATGACGTAAACAAAGCGCACATGAACACTAATTGATGAATTTATTTTGATGGTTAATTGTTTTATGCTTATTAGCATCGATGTAGTATTTTTCAGGCGCTCTCCAGGACCAGTGTACTTTTAGAATGCTCACCAGCGTTGGTATCGAATTTTTCAAGCGCTCGCCAGCACCAGTGTACTTTTCGAACACTCACCAGCGTCAGTGTCGTATTTTTCAGGTGCTCGCCATCACCAGTGTACTTTTTGAACGCTCACCAACGTCAGTGTCGTATTTTTTAGGCGCTCACCAGCACCAATTTAGTTTGTTTATGGATTTGTTGAGGGCATGTCTAAAGTGAAATTAAAACAAGTTCTGATTGTAAGTGAAAAGCTAATGTCAGACTTTTATGAAGTCGGAAACATAATTGTTTGAAATCTTGATGAATATCAAAATGCATTTGGGAATGAATCTTAATGAGTATGATTGTTGATATGGTGATGTTGTCTAACGGGTATCAAAATGATTTTGAAAATGATTGTGTGATGAGTCATGCTAATGAATGATAAACTCCTGAATGTTGTATGAAAAAATGATGAATTATCAATTGGTTCGAGAATATGTCATTTTTTTGCTTTTTTTCTTTTGCCGTGGGCTCCTTTAAATTGATCACCCACAAGAACTTGTTCTCTTGTAGGGATGCTTCTCAGTTGTTCTTAATAGTGAGAGCTCTTAGTCGTTATTCCCTCAGGCTTCTTGTTGTCCAATACAATGTTGTTAAATTTTCGTTGGTGTATTGTATTGTGATCCTTCTATCGTGGAGGGATAATTGATTGGTTGACCGAAATCAAGGGTTCTCTCCAATTCTTTGAGATTTCTAAACTGATGAGTTGAGAAGTTGGGTACTTTCGCTCGCGAGCATTTCAGAATGTTTCTCCTTTGAGGTTACACTGTTCTTGCCCCCAAATATCTGGCGTTCACTTTCTATTCTATGGAATAATGAGTGACTTTTATTAACCTTAACTTATGATGAGTGCAAAAATTATGACAAATGTGGATGCAAAGTATCATAGGAGCACGATGTTGAAATTTTCGATTGAGACAAGCGTGGAAGAATTGGATACAACTTTGTGTAGTTATTTCATGTTGCTAAAGCTTATTTTTTGCATTTTGTAATGAGAATTGAGAAGGGAGCAAGTCAAGCCAAGAGAAAATCCATAAGCACTCACTCTACTCTCACTTTCAACATCATGCTCAATTATGACATTTCAGCTACAATTAAGATTCTGGTCACCAAGAGATGTCTTCTTTTATGTTGATGGCCAAATATACTTGAGGTGATAGTTTTCTATAATGGGGATCTTTGATGATGAGATTAAGAAAATGTCATAATCTCTTGTCAAATTAGTGGTGGATAAGGAGATTCTTGTGAAGTCTATTTGGTCATGTGAAGTTTCTTTTGGAGGAATTTTGGCTTGCCCCGAATTATGACATTAACTGATGAATGGTGTAATCCTAATGGCTATTACCACGACTTTTGTCGAGGAAGTCTAGCTTTCTCCAAAATAGTGGTGACTTTTGGACATCTTGGGGAATGCGTTTTACGTATGCCCCTTGTCTTGAGATTTTGTCGTTAGGAGGTAGGGTCGGATAGTGACTAAATGAGGTCTTTTGGAATGCGAGTTTGGCTATGGGAAATCTTATCACATAAGTTCTTTGCTTAAGGTTTTCTGTTGATATTGGTCGGCAAATATCTTGATTCGTAGTGAATGGTTGTGACATGGAGTGCTAATGAAAGGCCTCTAACATGTAAGTCGCACAACAATTTTTCATTTTTCTCTTTTCTTTGCTTTTATTTTCTTGCCTTTTTTGTTTGTCGCGGGACTTACTTAACTTGGTTATGCTACAAAATATGCCTCCCTTATTCTCCCCTATGACAGGAGTATCAAAAGTTTAGTAATTCACAATGTAAGTGTAAATTCTCGTTGGATTGGCTGGTTGGTTACTCTTTTCTAGAAGAAGCAAGACTTTTGATGTTGTTGGCTATTTGAATTTTTTCCTGGTTGGCTTCATATGTATTTGGATCCCAATTCGCTAGCAAAAGTTGGCAATGATGGTGACGAGATTCTACCAATAGCCTGATGTCATATGCTCGTTACACCTTTTGACTATTCACTCACACAATTTGTGTACACCCAATGGGGTGTTTATACTCTTAACTCTAGCGCAGTGTCACACACTCAACACAATGGGGTGTTTATAATCGATCAAACACCAGTGGGGTGCTCAAAATTTGCTTAGCATGGCAATCTCATGGCATAACATGGAAATAAAACTAGGTTTGGATGGTTCCCATAAAATTTAAAGAATTTGGAATAACATTTGTCATTTGGGCAATGAAAAACCATTGATTCAAACTTCTAGATTAAGATTGATGATAGTCACAAAACATTCCAAAGAGATCGAAAGGTGGAAATCTTATTATTTATAATGACGAAAGCAAAGGTGATACATCTGTTGTTTAAGGAAATTAGCTCGATAAGTTTATTTACATAATAGGATCAACATCGTCCTTGAATCGAGCATTGCTTGTAGTACGCCTACTACTTCCCATGAGCCGGCAGTGGATTATTGTTTATGTTTGGACGCTTTGAATCCTCTTCGCATTTCAACCAACCGGCATTGATCATCTATTGCACCATAAACTTGAATGATCTGCAATTTTCAGTTGAGTGCGCTGTGACTCCTGAGTGGTAAGAACAATGTTGATCTGACTTGTACCAGTTTGGGAAGGGAGGTTGCATTGGCTTAGATGGAATTAGGGAAATCAGATGACTTTGGAGTAGTTGTGGAAAAAGTTTGGTGTACGTAATAGGAATAGGGTCAATTTGGAAGGGTTTTTTGTATCTACCAGAATTGTTTTGGTCTTAGTTATTTGGTGGTGGTGCCACTGGTGACGGATTTTGGATTCCTGGTTGAGTAGGAAAATTCGAGAGCTGAGTAAACACTACAGTATTGGCAACATAGGGGTGAGCTTGAATGACTTGAGGTTGGTGATTCCACCTTCCTCTTCTTAATAAATCTTCTTGAGCCGAATGAACCTCTCCATCTCCCCTTCGAGTTTGGTATGGTTTCTTTGAGTCTCCCGGACTTTCCATCCGATCTTGCTTCAACCCTTTTTCTATTCGCTCTCCAATTACTAGCAAATCCACAAACTTGGTTGTGGTAAGTCCTACCATGTTATTGTAATATGGAACCCTTAATGTTGCGAAGTTGATTGATACCATTTCTTTTTCAGATAGCGGGGGATGAACGTCTGCGACCTTCTCTCTCCGTCTATGAGCATACTCTCTGAATGATTCTTTGTCATTTTTTCCATATTGCGTAGATCCTCCCGATCTGGGTCTAAATCCTGGTTATGGTTGTAGTGCCTCATGAATGCATCGACTAGGTCCTGCCACTTTTTCACTTTTGTTTTCTCTAATTGCATATACCATCTGAGCGCCGAGGTTCTCAAGCTGTTTTGGAAGCAATGTATCATCAACCTTTCATCACGAATATAGTTAGCCATTTTATTACAAAACATGACTAGATGACTTCTTGGGCAAGTAGTGCCATTATATCTTTCAAATTCTGGTATTTGAAATTTATGAGGAATTATGACATCTGGGACTGGGACTAAACATAGTTGTGATGCATCAATAGACTCATAGGATTCAAATCCTTCTATGCTTCTTATTCGTTCATTCATGTGTTCCAATTTTTCTTTCAGCATAGCATCAACCCCATGTTCCTCCTGCTTCTCAGTCTCCTCTAATTTGTTATGCTTTGGTTGTCGTATGCCATCTTCGTCACATGTGTTCTTCGAAGGTATGAGAACAAATTTACTACCCGAGGCATCTCCTTTAGGTGGTTCATAGTGATCTTCTTCATCGAATATCGCTTCTTCTTCGTTGGTTGCAACCCCCTTTCCTTTTCCTCATAATTCTCAAAATTGTGCTGAGTTGGCTTTTCATCGAAACCATCAGGTTCTCATCAAAACCCATCAGTTTCTCATCAAACCCTGTTATCTTCCCTTTGATCTCGTTTAACTCTTTCTGAAATGCCTCCATGAAGACATTGTCTTTTGATCTCGTGAAGTGCTTAAAAGGTTGACTTTTTCCTCGTAGACGAGTAATTTTAAGGAACCCTGACAAATTTATTGTTATTAAATTGTTTATGGTGCTAAATGATTTGAATGCATGAATGCAAAGATAACCTGGATGGATGTATGCACTTTATCTTTTATGATTTTATTTTCAATCGGAGAACTACTAATGTCATGCATTTTGAAAAGCTTTTATGTGAAAAATAAAATCACATTATTTATGAGTAATTGATAATGCACAAATTATCACATCATAGGCAAAAATTTATCTAAATAAACAAAAAAAATTCTCTAATTAAATAAACATAAGATTTGTAAGGTTAGACGACAAGGTTTATACGAGATGGTGTTAGGCGGCTGCTAAACTTACTAAATGCTTGGTTAAGAGTTCTAGGGAAATACCCAAGTTGTATCTAAATAATGCTCTTTCAAGCTTAGTCAGATGCCTCAAATCAACCTCGGATTTGAGTTCAACTCGGTTAGCAAGTTTCACGGTATTCCCCTACTATTGTAGGAGTCACGTTACACCTTGCAATTTCTAAAGGGAGAGCTCGAGTATAGAG